GATGGCACATAACAACAACTGCGGTTTCTCAGAACGATCTGCTATTTCTCATACTCCCGGATGAATGAATCAGATTTCTAAGTATCTCAGAGGTACATATAAGATTGAGGATACTAAAAGTACAACAATAGAGACCTGCCAGATGTGCAGGCTGAGTTTAGAAGAGGCCGTGGTACTAGAGATATTATAGCTAATGCTAGATGGATTGTAGGTGAAAGCAGAGAGTATCAGAGGAATGTCTATCTGTGCTTCATTAACTGTGCAACGGCATGAGACTGTGTGGATCATAATAAACTGTAGCTGACTCTGAGAAGAATGGGAATCCCAGAACACTTGATTGTGCTTATGTAAAACCTATATTTGGACCAGGAGATCAGAACAGAGCAAGGAAACCCTACATGATTCAAAATCAGGAAGAGTATATGCCAGGGATGTATCCTATCTCCATACCTTTACAATCTATATGTGGAACAGATCATCTGGGAGGCTGGGCTGTATGAGAAGGAATGTGACATCAGGATTGGAGGAAGGCTCATCAACAACCTGAGTTTTGCCAATGAAACAACCCTGCTTGCTGAAACTGAGGAGGACCTGAAGCGTTTGCTGCAGAAGGTAAAGAACTGTAGCCTTCAATATGGAGTGAAGCTGAACATCACGAAAACGCATATTCTCACCACTGGTCCAATTGGCAGTATCATGATAGAAGGTGAAGTGATTGAGATTGTTAACAGCTTTGGTTTACTTGGCTCCACAATCAACACTCTTGGTAACAGCAGCCAGGAAATCAAAAGATGAATTGCATTGGGAATGTATGCTGTCAGGGATGTCTCCTGAGTACTGAAAAGCAATGATGTCATTCTAGAGACTAAGTTGCACCTGATTCAGGCCAGAGTCTTTGCAATTACTTGCTATATGTCAGAAAGATAGATAATGACTAAGGATAATAGAAAGAGAATTGATGCCTCTGAGCTGTGGTGCTGGAGAAAAATATTGAATATACCATGGATTGTCAGGAGAACAAACAGGTTCATCCTAGAGAAAGTGAAACCAGGCTGATACTTGGAAGCAAGGATTCTGAAGCTTCATCCAGCATATTTTGGGCATGCTGCAAGGAGGGACTAGTCCTTGGAGAGAGACATCGTGCTTGGAAGGGTGGAGGAATGGAGAAAGAAAGGGAGACCATTGATGAGATGGATTGATACAGTGACTGGGGTAATGAGGGTAGATATGTCAGAGACAGTAAGGTTTGCACAGGACAGAGCGGTGTCAGGGTTATTATGTACATAGGGTTGGTATCAGTCGCAAGCGACTCAATGGCACATAACAACAATAATAACAACATTGACTCTGAACTTTTTGAAAACTAGATTTGGGGTCCCTGATGAAGGAGGAAACTTAAGGTACTCTGAAGGACTTGGCAAAAAATAAAGCCCCAGGAATTGATGGAATACTAATTGATGTATTTTAACAAATAGACGCTGCTTTAGATGTGCTCACCAGGTTGTGCCAAGAAATCCAGAGGACAACTACCTGGCCAACTGACTGGTTCATATTTAATCCCATTTCAAAAAATGGTAACCAGACGGAGTATAGAAATTATAAAAAAATATCACTAATATCACAGGCAAGCAAAATCCTACTGAAGATTATACAAAAATAACTAGAACAGTAAGAACAGTGACAGACAACTACCAGAAATACAAATTTAGAAAGGGTCGTGGCCCTAGAGACATTATCACCAATGTCAGATCTTGACAGAAAGCAGAGTACCAGAGGAATATCTATCTGTGTTTCTCTGCCTATGCAAAGGCATTTGTGCAGATCACAACAAACTGTGGCTAACGTTGAGAAAAATGAGAATCCCAGAACACTTGATTGTGCTTATGCAAAACCTATACTTGGACCAGGAGGCAGTTGTCAGAACTGAGGAAGGAAACACTGCATGGTTCAAAATCAGAAGAGGAGTCCATCAGGGATGCATCCTGTCTCCATACCTTTCCAATCTACATGCAAAACAGATAATTCAGAAAGTTGGGCTTTATTAGGTGTTACGTGCCATCAGGATTGGAGGAAGACTGATTAACAACCTACGTTATGCAGATGACACACCTTGCTTGCTGAAACAGAGGCGGACATGAAGCATTTGAGGTAGGAGGTCAAGGACTGTAGTCATCAATATAGATTGAAGCTCAACCTCAAGAAGACATAGAACTGGACAACTGGCAGCAAGATGATTGATGGAGAAGAGACTGAAGTTGTTCACAATTTCAGCTTGTCTGTATTCACAATTAACACTCTTGGCACAAGCATCAGGAAATCAAAAGATGAATTGTATTGGGGAAAATCTGCTGCCAGGGATCTCTCCAGAGTACTGAAAAGCAACACTATCAGTCTAGAGACTATGGTGCGCCTAATTCAGGCCATGGTCTTTGCAATTACTTGCTATGCATCAGAGAGCTGGATAATAACTAAAGATGACAGAAGAAGAATCAATGCCTTCGAATTGTGGTGCTGGAGAAGAGTCTTGTGCATACCATGGACCGCCAAGAAAACGAATAAGTCTGTCTTGGAGATGGTGAAACCAAGTTTCTTCTTGGAGACTAGGACTTTGAAGTTCCATCTCACATACTTTAGGCATGTAGCCAGGAGGGACATGTTCTTGGAAAAGGAAATCAGACTCGGAAGGAGGGAGGAACAGTGCAGGAGAGGAAGGCTCTGGATGAGATGGATTGATACAGTAACTAGAGAAGTAGGATTAGGTGTGTTAGAATCAGTGGGACTGGTTCAGTCCCGGGCAGGCTTCAGAGTTGCTGTACGCAGGGTCGCTATGGGTCACAGGCGACTTGATGGCATATTAACAACAATGTGAATAAATACTCCTCTTGTTTTGGTCATTTTGTGTCCCCAAGAAGTAGAGGACTGTGAACACTTCCATTAAGGAAATACTTGAGGCATTGGGAAAGAAAACCACATTGTAGGTAGAGGGGACGGTCCAGGTAAGGGCACTGAAGGTGAGCATTCCAATGATGACTATGGATGGGGGAAGAAATACATTTAATAAAAAGTAAACATGAGTCTGGTTATCAGAAGGGCACACACACACACACACACACACACACACAAACACACTCTGTCTCTGTCTCTCTCTCTCCATTTCTCTATTTCTGGGATAGGGAAGGTAGAAGCAAAGGATAAAATTAGATGGAACCTTACATTTTTCACTATCCTGCGAGCTGCCCGGGAATCAGGAGTAAAGAGAATTTTTCCCATCAGCAGAGGCTTTGCAGCCCTCCATGCTATTTTGGTTAGAGGGTTTGTCTCCAGGCTCTGGATCAGTGCATTACAAAAGGATGCTGCCAAGACAGAAGGCACAGATTTTATAGCGACTCCCCAACTTCCCATAGCTTAAATGTGGTCATTAGCATGTTCTCAACACATCTCATTCCACTCCATGGGTTTGATGAATAACTCGAATTAATAGGCTGTACCCTCCCCCACCACAACTCTCCAGTAACAAGCTCATCATCAGTAAGTAACAAAATGCCACAGTGCATCTCAATAATGGCCTCATCAGAGAAACAAAAGGTGGGGTTGGCCCTGTGGCTTTTT